TAGTTCAGTCCTAGCCTGGGCTGCCTGGGGAGGGAGGTTGCTGGGTCTCTAACCTGGCTATCTTCTGGGACTGGCTGGCCAAGAACCCATCAGAGACGTCCCCTTCAGGTCCCCACCAGCCTTGTTTTCTGTGATAATGCCACTTTCTCCTTAGAACCCTGGCCTCGGGTTTTATACGTATCAAAATTTATATGGTCTGAGTTGGGTCTCGTGTTACTTTTCACAAGCTCTCATATATGGGATTCTTTAGGTTCTATTTATGAAGTTCAGAACCAAATCCTTTATATTCCTTTTCAAGAAGTTGGTCTGTTTTAACTGATTACAACAACGTTACGTTTCATAGAACCTAAAACTGGGTAGCACACCTATGCCCCCATTATGATGGCTGTATGTTTTAGAAATCAAACAAACCAGAAACGAGGCGATTCCTACAAAAGGAGAAAACGTGTGTATATTCTGTTTTCTTTTTACAAGTTTAATTGGGCGATCTCACAGCATTGAGATCTCTGAATGTCCCGGTTACCTCAGTTAGACAGGAGCTCTCAGCTGGAGGCAATTTCATTTCTTGAAACAGGAATCCCTGAGACTCCATTGGTAAAGGTGAAAGTCCGATTCTACGATGTAACTTTCTCTGAGGTTAAGGTTGTTGACCGAACTGGAGATGTGAATATATCACTCGTATTCTGATGCGTAAATGATACGCAATATGAAGGTAATAACTGGAATTAATATGAAAAAAAAGATTGTGAGATCCATATTATGCTTTTGTAAAGTCTCTATTTTAATTGATTATATTACATGGAGGAAGTTCACCTTCTGAACTACCGTGTTAGTAAAACCTGTTCGTAAATCTAATGGGTTTGTGTGTTTAAAAAAAAAAAAAAATCTGAACTTACGAAGCTCCGTACACCTTCCACAAGCCTGGATAACCTAAGGAATGACAACCCTGCTTACCCTGAAGTATGTCCTGTATTCAGGCTGCTACATCTTCAGTCTGATTCTCTCTTTTTTTTTTTTTAATTGAGTCTCATCAATCGCGTTGTATTTTAAAATGACAAATTAAAAACATAAAACTGAATATTTATGTTCTTCACGTAGCTTTTATGAGACTTTGATATTTAGGATTTTTTTTTAATAAGCTTTTGTTTAACACTTACGTGCTTTCTGCAGTCAATGTGCCAGCCTGCACAGCATGGTATTGTACTGTTCAACTAGGAACATTACCCTCCTTTTCCTGTTTGAAAACAATTTAAAAAAACCCCAACAACCCCAAAAAATGGAATTCCACCACGACTTGTTTTCTATGAAAATAACGCCCCACATTTAGGGGATTCTTTTTTTTTTTTGTTAAAGCCTAAAGGAATTCCTTAAAATTCCCTCCTTTAATTTTTATTTTTCTATTTGCCCTTTTGCAAGACGAGCGATAATGTCTCTATAACATCTTGTGACAGCAAAAACTGTAAGCAGGTGTTGGGAATGGCTGGTTTCTGCACCCGCCACCTGCAGCTGTAGGGAGCTCTCTGCTTTGCCTGGTCTGACGTTTCTCATCCCGAATTTCCTGAGCCATCAGAACCAAAGAATTTTTTAAACTGCTGAATACTTTAAGTCTTTAATTATGTTTTGGTCCGTGGTTTTGGGTTGTTTTCAAAGGTTGCAAGCTGAAAAGAAACATAAATCGGTTAAAGTAACGTGCAGAGGAATCCCCCAGGTCTGTGAACCCGAAGTGGTTTTTAAGCCGTGACCAGTAACTCGTCACCCAGTGCTGTGTACATTCCGGTGTGTGGGTGGCAGCAGTGCCATTCTCTAAGGAAACCTCGTTTTCCAGGGTGGTTTTATCACTGCCAACAGCCTCAAACGCCAGGACGGCTGTACCTCGGGATGTCACAAGCGGCAAGATCCTAAAAGCAGTGCTGCCAGAAAGCAGCAAATTGCAATGAAAAGGGCTTGTGCCTCCTTTTTATTTTTCGCTACTTTAACACTTGCAGCAAGAGAGCTTCTTAAAATGCAGAGCCAGTACAAACTGGCCAAAATAATGAGAAGAGAGAGAAGACTAACCTGCCCCATAACAAAGCACTCCAGGGTGGGTTGAGGGTGAAGATGCTCTCTCCCCCTCTGCAACCCACTCTCCTGAGTGTGGACTTTCCACCTTTTTTCATGCTCCTGGTTCTCTCTATACTGTCCTGCTCCTTCTTGCATGTCCCCTCCTTGGCCTCTCTGGAGCTGGGGAGGAGGTAGAGCTGGACTGTGCCCCTCATGGTGGGGAGGAGGGCTGGCAGGGGGACAGTGCTGGAGAGGAGGGAAGGGGGCAAAAGGCACGGTGAGGAGACACAAAGTCTGCTCTGCTCCAGAAGAGAGGGCAACGAGGGGCAGGCACGGCCTGTTCCCCAGCATCCCCCATCCATCCCCCTTTCCCTTCCAGTCCCACACTGTAGGGAAGAAGATGGTGTGTTTGTTGGGTTCAGTGCCCAGAGAAGCTGTGGATGCCCCATCCCTGGAAGTGTTCAAGGCCAGGCTGGATGAGGCTTTGAGCAACCTGGTCTAGTGGAAGGTGTCCCTGCCCATGGCAGGGGGGGTGGAACTAGATGGGCTTTAAAGGCCCTTCCAACCTGAACCATCCTGTGAGTCCTCTCTGATTCTGTGATGCCACCTGGAAGCGACCGGTTATTTCAGTGTGTGTGCAGACAGGCACACTGGGCTCGTGGATCCATGAACTCTCCTTTTTTGTTATTGTTTAATCATTCTTCACTTGAATGGAGATGTGAACAGCCGCTCTCACCTGCGCCCTCACCCGCAAGGGGAGCCAGGCAGTCCTTTTACACACCATGGGTCAAAGGTGGGCTACTTGGCAAACACGCCAGGGCAGTCAGAGCAAGCGTGAGCAAGATGAGCTTGCTTTCGTCTGCCTTTGCCACCTCTGCCCTGCTTGGTTTGAGAAGCCAGTGGAAGGTCATACCATGCTAAATTGGAAACAGACAAAAATTCTTGTTTTCACGGTGTGAGTGCAACGTGGTGATAAAAAATGTTCTCCTGTGGCTCATGCATGTCGCGTGGCAGTTACTTGGCTTAGTACCTGCATCTCCCCAGGAGACGTGTAATCCTGGTCTGCTGTGGGAGCTCCTGCAACGAGACACTTCAGTAACAGAGTCGGAGCTAACCCTGTTAGAAGAACACGCGGCCAAAGCACTGGCTATGGGACTGAGCTGGAAAACGACTAAAAAAAATCATTAAATACCAACCCCATCACTTCATTTACTGCTGTGAGAGATGTGGCTGCACGCAGCAGCCTGGCTGGGCTCGAGGAGAGGACAAACCGAGTGGGCACAGCTGAGGAAGGAACCCACGTGAACTCTCCTAAACTGTACCCTGACTGCCTGTGAGATGCCTGAAACACAGAAATACCACACGCAAGGACGGGCCTGGGGACCCTACCTGAAAATCCCTTCCTCCTGCCGGGCCATGCTTGCACCCAGCCCTGCACCACCACGCATGGCCCTGGGTCCTGGTCACGGCTCTGAGGGTCACAGGGCACTCCTGGGCATGGGAAAGCACCAGAGATCCTTAACCACTGGAACAGCTCCCTGTTACCGATCCCAGTTTGGAGCTGGATCAACAGCAGTGCCCGCAGAGCCAAGGGGCTGGTGATAAAAGGTTGGTCCTGGGCTCACTGCACCCATGGAGTCTGGGGTGGGAGCGCTGAGGCCCTGCCGTGAATTACGAGCTGGGTGGGTTTGTGCCAGCCCCGCTGCAGCCGGATCCTCGATGGGGAGGGCGGGGGGTCCTCCTTCACATGGCTGCAGTCCCATTTAGCAGTTTGAGCCCTCCATGACAGCACGGGAGTGAAATCAGAACGCACAGAAATGAGTGCAGAGAAAATTAAAGATGGCCTAGATTAATCAGCAAGCCTGGTTCGCTTTTTAGAGCGCTGTTACATGTTGATGCCTGTAGAGAGGATCTATCCATCACTGTATAATGAAGCATCAGCAGGGAAAATGGGATTTTGTGAGTGTTCACTCTAAGATCTCTAACGTCAAATCCTAATGTCCTGTGTCCATCCATGCACGGGACTTACACAGGCTGCTGCAATCTGAGGGCTGCTGGCTCTGTCTGTGTGTCCCTCCACCTGCTCCTCCGGCTGCCGGGAACCAAGGGATCACCCCTGGCCCTGCTTTGCCCCAGTCTCAGCCCCTACACCAAGGTAGTATAAGATTATAGAGGAAGGTGCCTGCGCTGCGAGCTCCCCAGCCATCAGCTGAGCCAGCTTTGGGCAGGCAGCCGCAGCGTCTGGCACGTGCTTGCAGCCTGAAATGCCACAGCAGTGCTTCGCCAGCATTTCTTAGGAGACTGGTGCGTAGCTTGGGATGCAAGATACGCTCCAAACGAAGAACAAAGAAGCCTGTTTATTAAGAAGTTTCAGCCTGTGCAAATCTGCCTGCAGGGTGGAGAGGGTAGGGATGCTACCCGGAATAAATTTCTCTTACAAGAGATCGTACATAAGCACAAAGTTATGGAGTGACAACATTTCTAAAGCACCCCACTGCTCAGGAGCCATTCCTCGTTAAAGGACCCTTGTCCCTTCTCTAACACAAATTGTAGATGAGCTATTTTTACTAGCCAACATCTCAGATGGAAAATACCGTTACAACCAGATGGAAAAAGTTAGTAAGACAGAGCGGATGGATGGGCTTTAACACTTGATTGTTTTTCAGACAGCGACTGCAAAAATAGTATGATGGAAGCACGCATTGATTGTTTCTCTCTGACTACAGATAAAAAAGCATCCTGTGTTGGAGGACATTGCACCCAAAGTTTCAAACCCAGCCTGGTCTCCAAGTCTCAGGCAGGCCGGGTCCCCCTTCTGCGTGTGGTCACCAATTGCGGCTGCTCTGCAGGTCCAGTAACGACTCGCTGGTGCCCGGTGAATGCTTCTGACTGTGCGGGCTCCCTGGGGTACGGTGTGCATGTACCCTGGGGTATGGCTGTGCAGGTTCTTTGGGGTACAGCTGTGCGGGTATCCTGGTGTATGGCTGTGCGGGTACCCTGGGGTACGGCTGTGCAGGTACTCTGGTGTATGGCTGTGCGGGTACCCTGGGGTACGGCTGTGCATGTACCCTGTTGTACGGCTGTGCAGATACCCTGGGGTACGGCTGTGCGGGTATCCTGTTGTATGACTGTGCAGGTATCCTGGGGTACAGCTGTGCGGGTATCCTGTTGTATGGCTGTGTGGGTACCCTGGGGTACGGCTGTGCATGTACTCTGGTGTACGTCTGTGCAGGTACCCTGGGGTACGGCTGTGCGGGTGTCCTGGTGTCCGGCTGTGCATGTACCCTGGGGTACGACTGTGCAGGTATCCTGGGGTATGACTGTGCGGGTATCCTGTTGTATGGCTGTGTGGGTGCCCTGGGGTACAGCTGTGCAGGTGCTCTGGTGTACGACTGTGTGGGTACCCTGGGGTACGGCTGTGCAGGTATCCTGGTGTCCGGCTGTGTGGGTACCCTGGGGTACACCTGTGGTGGTATCCTGGGTTACAGCTGTGTGGGTATCCTGGGTTACAGCCACCCCGGGAGCACACAGGCTGCAGGGACCCATGGTCAGCAGCGCTGCTGGCACATCACACGATGTCGCTCTGTGCGTCGTCATCCTCCCCTCAAGCAGGATCAGAAAAGTAGAGCAAGGTAAAAATTAATAAATAGTGGCAATGTAAAACTGGGTGCTGTGGCTAGCTGTGTGCCACGGGGCAGTAACAGCGTATCTGCGGTTATTACTCAGATCTTCATTCTTTGTGACACGGGGAAAACAGCGTTTGCTAAGAGCTGGGGGGTCTCTGGCACTCCATCTCCGTGGGCATGCCTGTTGGGCAGAGCTGAGCCACCCACGCAGCGCTGCATGGCAAGTGGAAAAAACAAGCTGTTGGCCACAACAGGTTTGGAAATCAACACCACTTCTGGTCTATCATGCAGGGGATTTTTCTCCCCCTCCCAACTCGTTATAAAACCTGTGAGCTGTGACCAGCTTTCTGGATGCTATAGGCGAGTAATTCTCCTATTGAAATGTTCTGTCTGTGGCACGGCAAGACTTGGCATCACGTCCGCCGAGGCCATAGCCACAGAACACGCTTTCCAGCCCGGGAAGATGGAGCCTGGTAGGTGAAAATAAAAGAAGGCAGCGTCTTCCAAATCTGTTTCTGTATGTTCTCTGGAATAAATGTATAGCAGCTGAACCAACTGGAGGGTAGGTGATCTCTGGTTTAGTTAAATCAACAGATTGCGCAATCAGATGCTTGAATAAAGAAGTGCTGCTGCTTGTCCAGGAGCAGATTTCAATGCTGGGGTCTGGTTAATGGACAGGCCGCTTCCTCCTGCTCCTGCCCTTGGGAAAAACACTGTATCGTCCCTTTGCATGTAGGTGACTTGGACTGACACCAGTGGTGTTCATACACTTGCACGGGAGGGGAAACAGAGCTTCCCTTGACAGCAGACACAGGCTCTCCCCGCAGTGCACACCAGGATCACCTGACAAATCCCGTACGGGTGATGCACAACACGCTTTGGGTACTGACAGATTCGCAGAAAGCCGCTTAAGGTGGAAGGCAGCAGCACAGCATCTCTACGAGGCACTGGCACATCCTTATTTTGCTGTGTTCAACTCAACCGAACTAATAAGATGAAAGGCAATTTAAAAGCGCCTGGCAGATTACCTTGACCAAGAGCTTCTTAAAAGCTCACACAATGGAAGTGCATTTGAGCTAAAAATACGGCATCAGTCACGACAGTATGTAACAGCTATAATGTTTAACCAAGGAGGAATCAGCTTTGTGAAGTGTGTCACTTTACAACTGCCAGCACCTGGGAATAGCAGCTGTGTTTCTGGGTCAGTCTTTCACATCCCAGTTTGTCAGACTGAACCTCTTCTGCCTAAAACGCAGCATCCCTCCGTAGCGCGCACTCTAGTAATGGCCAGCGATGGTGCAACAAAATCACGCGGGTGGCTGGCGAGGGGGTTGATGCCTGTGGTTTAACCCATCGTGAAATCAGTCTCAGGCACCCTAGTTCAATGCCATTTGCGTGCATTTCTGCTGCTGAGTTATTTCTGTTGTTTCAAGCCTGACGATGGTCGCAGTCCTCCCCTGCCCCATCCTACAGAGCTTCCTCTGGTCCCACTCTCTGGAGTCTGAGCAACCCCTGGGCTCAGGGGACTTGAGTTTCACCTTATGATTTGCTAGCCAAGTTGTCTGACTTCTCTTGGTTTTAGAACAAGATGGCTATTGAGTATTATCTGTTAGCGAGGGAAAGTGCAAACAGCTTTTATCTCCACGAAGCCAGGCAGCGTGTCACCCCACCGGCTTGGAGTCAACTGCATCTATCTACGCAGTTGAAAACTACCAGCCCCTTATCTGCAAAGCTTCTTGCAACAGAGAGACCCGAGATACCTTGTTTTCTGGCTCTCAGGGCAAAGAACGAGGCTTAGGTCCTCACTTGAAAGTTTCATTTTGCCAATCGGGAGTTTGCAGGGCTTGCTGTGGGCTGTCCCTAGGCAGAGAGCCACGCCAGCAGGACTGCTGCTGTCCCAAAAGGGAAACCTATTTAAACTGCCATCCTGCTATCGAGTATCCCAGTCCCGATACGGCCGAGGAGAAGCAGGTAGTCAGTTCAAGGGCTAGCGCTGTTTGCTTGATAAATATTGATGGTGTGGAGCAAGGCATACTGCAACACTGCAAAAGGTCCTTAAAAATGTTCAGAGGATGAAAATTGCCGGGCACTGTTGTGATTTTGAAGCTCAAATAATAAATGATTCAACAACTGTACAGTTACCATGGGGATGAATTCTCATTGAGCCTAAAATTACCAAGCTGCTGACAAGGACCTATTTTTAGTATCAGCAGATGTGTATCTTTAAAAACATCAGCACAAACCTACTACTGTGTGTTTGTGTATGCATGCCTGCTCGCCTGTAATTGAGTTTTCTGATGCTAATAACAAAAGCAAGAATAAGTGAACGTCTGAACACTGCAACGGCCGATGCAGCGATGTAGGCTGGGGGCGATAAGTGGAAGTTGCAATTAATACCTGAAAAATAAAGCATGCAAAGTGGCCAGATTGCCAGTATGTAACCGAACTAGTAAGCAGAGCCCTATCATTACCCTCAGCTAATGTGCTACAGTAATGGAGTGTCTATTTTCGGTGTCTGAGAGCATCTAATGGGAAGCGCCCGTCAGGACTGTCACAGCCCCACGACACAGGAAAACGGAGGCTCAAAGCTGACACGAGCTGCTGGCACAGATCCTGAATCTCCGCACTCAAAGACTGAGTTTGTAAGCACTCTCCCTGTTTCACACTTGAGGGAGGTGCAAGGATAACCCACTCCAAGAAAGCACACCGATTAGGCAAGGTGTTAACACATCCCCAGCAGTGACTTAACGGCAGCCGGTGTCGGTGCCAAGTTGTGGAGTGTTTGCTACCCACCAAGCAACTCAGCCCATCCACGCTGACTCACCCCACCGTCAGCCATGCAAATTGTGCCGCCAATTTAAGAAAGGTTAAGGCCCCTGCACCGCTGACTTTGACCTGGTTTTTCTCGTTAACTCTAATAGGACAGGCTGGAGACCTGCCTTTTTATTTTATAGCCTAACTTTGCTGAGGGAGAGGCCAGAGGGTGCCTATATTGACATCTCATTTGGTGATAAAAGCATTGGTTTTGGTTTTGCCAAGCATGTAGCTGGATAGACATATCTCTGCTCGCCTCCCGGCATGCCAGCACAGTACATATGCATGCAAACGGAGTTTCCTAGCACACCAGCCAAGCAAAAATCAAAAGCAGTACATTACAGACGGGTAGGATAATAGGGCATTACGGGAGACAGTTCAGCACTTTGGCTCAAAAAACCAAACAAGCTCTTCAAGTTGCTGAAAGGCTGGGATGGAGACAACAGAGAGGACTGCAGTGGTTGATAGCAGGCAGCAGTGCTCCCCGCCTGCGCTGCCGCGTGAGGAGCCGGTCACCCCTCCCCCAGAGAGCAACGGGGGAAATAATGGCATTTCAGATAAGAGAGAGAAGAATTAAGGATCAAGAAAAGCCCTTGTGCCGAGACACATTTGAAAAAAAACCAAACCTCTGGATGGTCTTCTATCCCAGAGTAAATTATGCAAAGAGGTCTGATTAAACCATCCATCATCTCCCATTTTTGATATTTAATTAGGAAAGAACGGTTAGTTCTTCAGAGTTGGCTCTTTGAGATGTGTTGGCTCTGCTCTTGAGGTGTATGTGCCTCTATTATAAATGTCTGACTCTGTTAAGAAATATCATAGTGTGCTGCTACCATAGAAAACCCTTCCCCCTTCCCCCCCCCCCTTTTTTTTTAATAATTGAACTTGTATAATTTGGGGCTTGGGGAAGTTTTGTTTGACTTCGAAGAAGCTGTCCCTGTGGAAACTAGCCAATCGATATTCCAGGTGAGGTTCAGAGATGCTCTTGTTCAGAAAGACTGTCTGAACAGCTTGGCCATGCTACTGGAGATTAACCTGAGCGCTTCAGGAGATCTGGGTAGCTGGGCCGCCTGGTTCGTACGTGTGGGCTCTCATCTGAATTTCCTAATGCCCTTGCTAAAAGAAGAATAGGATGGTATGTACCACAGACCAGAGGCGTACGGGGCAAACAGACGTGTCTGAGTGGTGGTCTCAGGCTTGTGATTTAGCTGCAAAGGATGTGAATTTAATTCTGTTGCAAACAGAAACTTGACCTCATATTCAATTTTCAATTTGAACAATCAAAATGGGAAAGTTTTTTATTGTCTGGGCACAGTGATCTGAAACCCCCAATGTGGGCACTGGACTAGAACATTTTCTAAGAAGTCACTGGTTAACAGCAAACTGTTTCCTGATACGGAGGGTGTTGTCAGCTCTTGCAGACGCCCAAGGCACTAGGTTTACTGACGGGAGAGCTGCCATTATGAACACAATCCTAAAAGGGATGGGCTCCTTCACATCTAGGAAAAGGCTGTTTTTCTTGCTCTCATGAGCATAAATTGCACTGGTTTGTGCCTTCTTGAGTTCAAAGGTGACAACAGGTGATCCACATGTGAGCCGTGGGGGGAAAGTAAGAGTGCCTGAACCACGAGGATTACATCTGGTCCTTTCTGTCTGCCTTCTCCAGTGCTGGAGAAGGCGGCGCACGTGTCTGCCTGAGCAGTATCAGCTGTGCAGGGGATGTCCTCCCTGCCACAGATGAGCAGTTGGTGGCTGTGGAAAAGCTGTTACTGGTTTTGAACCCGCATAGATCTCAGTGAAAAAAGGGCAGAATCGAGATCTAGAAGAAAATTAGGAGAATGGTCTTGTCAACCATAGGACCCTAAATGAGAGTAGGAGTCACAGTGAATCAGGGTGAATGAAGTTACAGCAGGAAGAAGTCCTGAAACTACATGCTTGCAAAAAGGCTACATTCATACAGACAGGATTCCTCATTCCTAGCTGAGATTTAGGGAAACATTGGGCAAATTCCATGTACTGCATTAGAGTGGAATATTTTGTTGCAAGTGGATGTGCCTACTTTCTGGGATTGTAGGATAATCCAGGTCAGAAGGATCTCAAGAGGTCTTTAGTCCAACTGCCTGTCCAAAGCAGGGACAGCTCTGAGGTCAGACCACGTTAACCAGCGTCTTATCCAGCCTGATCTTAAAAAA